ATCGATAGTGAGATTGATAGTGAGACCGATCGAGTGAGACGTTGGTTCCCCCCCCCCCCCCGAACCTCCTTATCACCCGAAGGGTGGTCGTATAGGTGTGTATGTACATATATATGTATATATATATATATATATATATATGTATATATGTAAATATATATGTATATATATATATACGGTCGAGGGTTTGGGCCCCCCCCCAATGCTAATGCCATCGCCCCCCCTTCCCCCGCGCGATGCCCCCCCCCCCTGTGGGCGCGGGCGTGGCGCGGTGGCTCCCCACCCCCCTGTGGATGTGGTGTGGGCGTGGCGTGTTGCTGTGGGTGTGTGCGGGGTGACGCCATGGTCCTCCTCCCCCCCCCCTCCCCCTCTGAGGGTGCGGTGTGGGTGCGGCGCGTGGCTGGGATTGGCGTCATGTTGGCAGCTCCGGTGCTCGACATCATCGCCGCCGCCGCCGGTAGTGCCGTCGACGTCGTCGTCGTCGTTGTCGGTGTCGTCGTCGTCGTCGTCGTCGTCGTCGTCGTCGTCGTCGTCGTCGTCGTCGTCGTCGTCGTCGTCGTCGTCGTCGTCGTCGTCGTCATTGCCGTTGTCGTCGTCGTCCACCTCCTCCTCCTCCTCCTCCTGCTCCTCTTCCTCCTCCTCCTCCTGCTCCTTCTCCTCCTCCCTCTCCTCCTCCACCTCCTCTTCCTCCTCACGGGGTCGGCGGGAGCTGGGAGTGGGGGGGACGGAGCTATCGCGTCGATGCTCGAGCTGGCTCGAAGGGGCCTGCATCCCAAGACGGGCGAGCCCCTCGAGCCGCTCGTCTTCTCGGAGCTCGGGGTGCCTGCGATGCCGCAGCAGGCGCCCGAGCCCGAGGCACCTGACTAGTGGGCGGAAGTGCCGGCGGGGGGCGCGGTGCGAGTGGGGACTGCCCGGCGTTGCGCCGTTAGTGACCCTCGCACCGTTGCTCCCCAGCCCCGCGCACGGAAGGAGCAGATCCGCTGCACTTAAGGGCCCCTTAAGTGCAGCGGGCTGTCTTGGCCTCCATCGCGTCGATGCTCGAGCTGGCTCGAAGGGGCCTGCATCCCAAGGCGGGCGAGCCCCTCGAGCCGCTTGTTTTCTCGGAGCTCGGGGTGCCTGCGATGCTCAGCAGGCGCCCGAGCCCGAGGCACCTGAATAGTGGGCGGGTGCGGGCGGGGGGCGCGGTGCGAGTGGGGACTGCCCGGCGTTGCGCCGTTAGTGACCCTCGCACCGTTGCTCCCCTGCCCCGCGCACGGCGCGGAGAGCGCCCCTTGTTGGATGAGGGCCCTCTCTCGTTCTTTTTTTCGAGGCGTGTTCGTGATTCACCTGCGCGCTCTCGGCACTGTCCTCACTGTCCTCCTCCCCCCCCCCCATCCCATCTGGGGTGGGGGGCCCGAGGGCCCTGGGACCCATCCCGTCTGGGGGGCGGGGGGGGGCCCGAGGACCCAGAGCCCGCGATGATATATATATATATATATATATATATATAACCCCAGGAAGCATTTAAGAACCCCCCCCCCCTTCCGGCAAATCGATACCCCTTCCGCACCCTGGAAGCGTTACCTGGCACCAGGAGCCCTCCTCCTCCTCCTCCTCCTCCTCCTCCTCCTCCTCCTCTCCTCCACCCACGAACTTCCTCCTGCCCTCCTCCTCCTCCTCCTCCTCCTCCTCCTCCTCCTCCTCCTCCTCCTCCTCCCGCGCCCCCCCCCTTCCCACGGGGCCCAAGGCCTGTCAGGGCCCAAGTCACCTGGGGTTTCCCCTCTGGGCCTTCTCCTGAGGAGGAGGAGGAGGAGACGAGGAGGAGGAGAGGGGGAGGAGGAGAGGAGGAGGAGGAGAGGAAGAGGAGGAGAGGAGGAGGAGGAGAAGGAGGAGGAGGAGGAGGAAGAGAAGGAGGAGAACGAATGTTTAGGATTTTTTCCAAGAATCCTTAGGAATCCTGAGGACCCTGTAGGAATCCGGAGGAATCCTTAAATTCATGAGGAATCCCTTGGATTTTTTGACGAGCCCTTAGGAATTTAAAGGAGTCTTCTGGAGTTCTGAGGAATCCACAGAAAGCTTTAGGAATGCGCAGGAATCGCAAGGGAATCCGTAAGAATCCTAGATAAATCCTTAGGAATCCCTAGGACACCCGCAGGAATAGAACTGTATTGTTTTTTCGCGTGGCCGGGTGCTAAGATAACGCCACGTTGCGGGGGGGGGCGGGATACATTCTCGTGGACCTCCCCCATAGGACGGCCGATGCAAATCAATTTCTAGAAGGGTTTTGAATGAGAAATCTCTTCCAAGAGGCCAGCAGATCAGAAGAGAGAAAAGGAGGAGAACGAGGAGGAGGAGGAGGAGGAAAAGGAGGAGGAGGAGGAGGAGAAGGAGGAGGAGGAGGAGAGGAGGAGGAGGAGGAAAAGGAGGAGGAGGAGGAGGAGGAGAGGAAAAGGAGGAGCAAGACAAGGAACATGAGCAGGACAAGGAGGAGAAGCAGGAGCAGGGAAAGCTTCTCAGTTGTCTCAGTTTGCTAAGCTTTCCCAGGTTTCTCAGCTTCCCCAGGTTTCTCAGCTTTCCGAGGTTTCTCAGCCTTTCCAGTTGATTCAGAACGGATCGTCGGCAGATTGTCCTGTGTCTTGCCCAGGTCAGATTGGATTCTTGATGAGATGGAAGCGTCGCTCACAAGTCTGAAGCACTGGAAGGAGAGGAGGAGATGGAGGAGGAGGAGGAGGAGGAGGAAGAGAAGGAGGAGAACGAATGTTTAGGAATCTCTAGGAATCCGCAGGAGTCCTGAGGACCCTGTAGGAATCCTTAGGAAACCTAACATTCATGAGGAATCCCCTGGAATTTGTGACGAGCCATTAGGAATTTAAAGGAGTCTTCTGGAATTCTGAGGAATCCACAGAAAGCTTTAGGAATGCGCAGGAATCGTAAGGGAATCCTTAAGAATCCTAGATAAATCCTTAGGAATCCCTAGGACACCCGCAGGAATAGAACTGTACTGTTTTTTCGCGTGGCCGGGTGCTAGGATAACGCCACGGTGCGGTGGGGGGCGGGATACCCTCTCGTGGACCTCCCCCTAGGACGGCCGATGAAAATCAATTTCTAGAAGGGTTTTGAATGAGAAATCTCTTCCAAGAGGCCAGCAGATCAGAAGAGAGAACAGGAGGAGGAGGAGGAGGAGGAGGAGGAGGAGGAGGAGGAGAGGAGGAGGAGGAGGAGGAGGAGGAGGAGAGGAGGAGGAGGAGGAGGAGGAGGAGAGGAGGAGGAGGAGGAGGAGGAGGAGGAGGAGGAGAGGAGAAGGAGGAGCAAGACAAGGAACATGAGCAGGAAAAGGAGGAGAAGCAGGAGCAGGGAAAGCTTCTTTGGGAAGGGTCCTCAGCAGGTCTCTCAGAGAGGTCCCGAAGCAGGCCTCTCAGACCTCCGAAGCAGACCTTTGAGCAGGTTCCTAAGCAGAAGCAGACGCAGGCCTCTGAGCAGGCTCCTGAGCAGGCGTCTAAGCAGGCTCCCAGGCAGGCCTCTTAGCACGCCTCGACGCAAGGTTTTCAGTCTCTCTGAAATTTCTGACCTCCTCCATAGTTCACTTCAGGTTTTTCTCAGGCGTTTTCTCAGGTTCTCAGGCTGAGTTTCAATTGAGCAGGTTTTCTCGGTTTTTTCCTGTTTCTCAGTTTCTCATGTTTCTTAGTGCTTTTTTAGATGCAGTAAAGGAAAACCTTTAGGACTCTTAAGGAATTCTTGCGAATCTTTTGGAATTCTTCAGATTCCTGGGGAATCCTTTGGATTCTTTGGAAATATTCAGGAATCCCTGGACATCCTTTGAATCTTCTATGAATCCTGACGAATCTTTGTGAATCCGTAGGAATCCTTGAGAATCCTGCGGAACTTGTATGAAACCTGATGGATCAAGTCAATTCGTTAGGAGTCATCAAATATGCTTGCGAATCTTAATACTATTATCATTGCATGAATTTCCCAAGCAGCAAGCGACATTCTGAGTCTTTCATGAGAGCCACGCAGATTTGAATTTCGAATTTCGATTGTGGCCCAGGGGCCAGGCCTCCGCGAATTTGTTTTGTGTCCGGGTGCTAAACCTATCGTTCGGTTATTTCGGCCCCTCGGAATATCGCATAAAAATGCGGTGTTAAGATCTCGCCGGGGGGGTTCTTAAATGCTTCCTCGGTATATATATATATATATATATATATATATATATATATATATATATATATATATATATATATATATATATATATATATATATATATATATGCGTGGCGGAGAGGGCCGTGGCCGTCGCAACCGTACAGGCACAGCGCGAGATCGGCAGAGAGACGGGCGGGGCACCTCCGATGCCGGCGGGCGCGCCGCCAGCACCGGCCCCCGGTGCCGCTCTCGTCTTCACGATTTCCTAGGTGGGGTCGGAGGATCGCGCCACATCGCCGACTCATCGACCATGCGGCTCGATGCGGCGCCCGATTTGCTTCACGCCGACGTCGCCGATGCATCGCCAGCGTCGCTGGCGCGTCGCCAATGCATCGCCGATGCATCGGGGATGCATCGGCGATGCACTGGCGATGCGGTACGATCCTCCGACCCCATCCATTCCGAACCTCATCTCGGAGGCTCCTAAAAATGTCCAGCTCGTGGAGGCCCTCGTCGTTCTCGCCGCCGCAGTCACGGCGACGTCGGCCCTGGCGGCGACGACCACGGCGCCCGCGGCGCTTCGGCGAACGGCTCCGAGGGCCTCTGCGGCGCTGCCAGCGTGCGGGGTCCTCGGCGTGCGTTGATCGCGGTCGCTGCCGTCGTCGTCTTCGTCGCCGTCGCCGTCGCCGTTGCCGTTGCCGTCGCTGTCGCCGTCGCCGTCGCAGTCGTCGTCGTCGTCGTCGTCGTCGTCGTCGTCGTCGTCGTCGTCGTCGTCGTCGTCGTCGTCGTCGTCGTTTTCGTTTTCGTTGTCGTCACGGCAGCGACTCCGACGGCGGCGACGCCAGCGGCAAGGCGGCCGGTGGGGAGGAGGCCGCCAGGTGGAGAGCGAGCGGAGCGGCTCCGGCGTGCTGTCGTGGGAGGTGCGCGGCTTGGACGCAAGGCGCCCGTCCTCAACGCTACAGCCCTCGCCGCTCGGAAAAGTGTCGGAGGTCTGCGCGTATGTCTTGGATCAGCTGGACACCCCCGGCGGCGCCTCCAGCGCCGCCCCTGGCGCCCTCCGCGCGCCAGAGAGTGGGGGCCGAGCGCCGACATAAGAAATCCGCACGGATCTCCGAAAGTGTGTGTTTTTGCGTTCGTTTCTAATTGTGTCCTCGCGCCAGGCATCCAACAGATTGACAAAAACAAGACCGAGATGTTCCGCCGCATTCGGCGTCATGCATGGGAGCCCTCCTTGGGCCCCGGGGCCCCGGGACCGCCGACAAGCGACTCATAAGGAAAAGCCGTCCGTGGGGGAGGAGACTCCCAGGGAGTCCGTATTGAACAAATCAAGACATCGGATGTTTGTGTCCTTCTCGGGGATCGAAGATCGAATATCAATTCACAGGAAAATGACAACGTTTGGCGATAACGGGCGTTAGTTCGATGGGGAGGGGGGCCGTCAACGTCACGATTTGTGACGGCGCCGTTTAGGAGTCAAGTACCCCTAGCTATTCCCAGACAGCCCTGGCGCGAATCGTGATGTTACCACGGGAGGGGGAGGGGTGGGGGACGACACGCCGGCAACGGGCGTGTTATCGCGAGCCGCTTGAACAAATCAACCTCTTCCTTCACAGCAGTGCTTGCATGGGCCCTGTTGCTACGAGATCGGCCTAGAAGGTTCTCCGTTTCTAGCCTGTGGGCGCCCGCTCCGACGTCGTGTCCGCCACGCTGGCGGCTCCAGGCTCTCTCGCTCGCTGCCGGCCTCGTGCCCGCACCGTGCGCTGGGTGGCAGTTCTCCACGTGTTCGCCTGGTGCGCGCCCGCCCCGTGGAACGGCCGTCGGTACCTTGGTCTTCGCCGGGTGCGGGCCAGCGCCCGTCTCGTGGGCCGCCCCGTGCATCTCCGCTATGAGGTTCTCTTGTAGCCTGGACGGGGCAGGGAAGTGCAAACGGTCGTCGTCAGTCGATGTCATGTGAAGCATCGTTCACCCGCGCTTCACCCCGTGCCTCGGGCTGGCGTGGACTCTTGCCTTCCCCAGGTGGTCTCTGACAAGGCCGCAAAGCAGTGGCGTCAGTGAGTGAAATCCCATCATCGTGTTCATACATCTCTAGAATTAGAGATGTTGACATATATGTGTACATATGCACAGCTAAGAGTATGTATACACCTATTCACGCAGTGCACGGCGTACGTTCCACAACATATATGAGTTTGCCGAGCATGCACCACATAGAATCCTTCTCCCGGAGAAAAAAAACACCCACCCCCTATGCCGAAGCCAGACTCCACGGTGCTCCTGCGCGTATAGTTGTTATTTTGTTTCAGTGGATTAAGCGGTCGTCTTTCCTACGTGGGAAGTCATACAACCCCAGCGAGGTTCTTGTCAACCTTCCTGCCATATCTGCCAAACAATTCCATGCGACGCACACGCGGTGATCGTTTTTTATTCAATGTTTTGCCGATCGGCGCGGGCCTTCGCACCCCTCTCTCGCCCCCCCTCCATGGAGTAGATCTTGGCTGTTTTTTGCGCCCGTTTCGAGCAGGCGGAGCCTCTCCTCCAGAGGACGCACGGTTCCAAACAGCCGCACTAAGCAGAGGTCCGGAGCCAGAATCCCCCCCTCCCCCCCCCTCCGCCAAATGTCGAAACGCCGAATAAGAAAACGCTCACGTGTAGAAGCGTTTTTTTGTAGACCAGCCTAGTCAATTCACACCACCCATGCCACCGCGCCCCCCCCTCACCAGCGCATGTCGAGGTCAGCGCAAAGCTGAGGTTTGGTTTTTAGCCATGTCAAGATCGAGCCATTCAACACACATCACATACGAAGCAGACGCTTTGCTTCTCAACAAATGTCATGTTATGCCTGCGCGCGCATTTTCCAGTCACACCCGGATAACGGTGGCCTCCCCGTGTCAGTGACACCATGCGGGCCACCAACGCGCGCCGCTGCACGCGCGCGTCGAGATCATTCAAAAACGATATTTCGCTCACTAGACTTATAAGCAGTGATTTATGGATCCCCCGTCGACCATGGCAATAACATGTTCACTTCCATGTGGCCCAAAAGCGAGCGCACGTCGAAAACGTTCAACAACCATGGTTGTCCGCAGCATGTCAAGCCATTCCTTCCCAACAACCTGCTCACAAGTTGGTCCCAAGTGGAAAGGGTGTCAGGTCCCCCCGCACATCATCATCATCATCATCATCATCATCATCATCATCATCATCATCATCATCATCATCATCATCATCATCATCATCATCATCATCATCATCATCACCGTCATCATCAGCATCAGCATCAGCATCAGCATCAGCAGCAGCAGCATCATCATCATCATCGCTCGCCTACCCGAGCCATGGATGTGCATGAGACGAGTCTACGCGCCATCGCACCTGTTGACATTAGCGAACATGTTCCGAGAGGTAGCGGCGCTCATGGCCTCTTGAGTTTCGCCACTAAGTTGCAGGTCTCTGGGTGGAACGTTTCCTGGAGTACTGGGATCGAGTACCTCTTCCAATTCTTAAAGGATATTTGCTCTCGACCTTCTACTTTGGAACGGACCTGACTAATATCTCTTTCAGGCGGTTCGATCTGTTTCAGACGTGGGCCCCCATACCTCTCGATCCCTTCACCCGTGGCAAATGTTCATCCCTGGCCGTTTTTGAGGGACGGAAGCGGCCTCCGAAGGCCTAGCAATTGCGAGAAACCAGACGTCTCAATAATTTCCAGCCTCCAGATGTTGTGGTACGGGGGCACCTGGGCGGACCAGGGATGAAGGGGGAGCGATAAGGAGGAGGAGGAGGAGGAGGAGGAGGAGGAGGAGGAGGAGGAGGACGAGGACGAGGAGGAGGCGGAGGAGGAGCAGGGGGAGAAGGAGGAGGAGGACGAGGACGATGACGAGGACGATGACGAGGAAAAGGAGGAGGAGGACGACGAGGACGAGGACGAGGAAAAGGAGGAGGAGGAGGCCGCCGCGAAGAGCCAGACGTCGCCGTGCAACGGGGAGGCCCGGAGGGATTCTCGCCCTGCCCCGCTGGATGGAAGCCGGCTCCCTCGGTGGTCGGATGCCTCCCTGGGGGACAGCGCGAGTCGCCACGGAGGAAGCGGGTCCTCTGGAGAAACGGGCTCTTGGCCGTTTGGGGGAGGAGGAGGAGGAGGAGGAGGAGGAGGAGGAGGAGGAGGAGGAGGAGCGCCCAGCACATAAATAATCTCTCGGGGTGAAGAGCTGGTGCCGAGGCAGGCCTCCAGGGTCCAGGCTCCGTGTCCCCTCGGGGCCCTTCTCTTCTCTTCGTGCGGACTGCACGGGCGGCCAGGCACGCGTGAGGTCTCTTTTGTCCGCCCTTTGCCGTGGGCAAGACCTGGCAGTGCAGAGGCCCAAGGGCTGCGCCCGCCGACCAGGATCCCTATTCCATTATGGGGACCTGGCCGTGGCGGCAAGGAGCCGCCCGGATGCTCGACAAGGGGGAAAGGACGTTCAAACACCTTGACCCTGCAACCTCGCCTCGACGAACATCGGCCACGCGCCGAGGGGGGTCTGGCGGAGGAGGGAAGCCTTCTTGGAAGCATCCCTGCTTCCCTCGGAGGTGGATCGACCTCCTACCCTGACACGTCGATTAGCGAATTGGCCGTTTTCGGCTCGCGAGAGGGCGTCGTGGCCGTCAGTTTTGCGGGTCCAGGTCCGTCGGTTTCGGCCCTAGGCCGTTTTCACTCAAGGGTGGTTTGCTACAGGAAGGTTTGTCCACCGCCGACTCTTGGGAGGCGCGGGCCTTGTTGGTAGGTGTACGGCGCGGGCCTTCTAAGAAGCGGCCTCCTTCAGAGACGCCTTTCCTCCCTCCCCCTTACCAAGGACGGTCTCGATCTCGCGATCGCCGTCGGCAGAGCTCGGCAGCCCCGCCCGGTGAGGCTGGCGGGCCGCGCGGTGACAGGCCGCTGGGAGCCCACAGGGGTACTCCAGATTTCGTAATAAAGGGAGGGGGGTCTCATTTCGGGGGGGGTCTCTTCCGGGCTATCTTGGAGGGCTTGGGGGGTCTGGGGACGATGTTTTGGAGGGTTCTCCCACGGGGGAGGTCTGAAATGGCTTGTCTTGGAGGGTCCAGACCCCCTCCCTTTTATTAAGAAACCTGGAGTAACGCTGCAGGGAGGGGGGGTCGATCTGGGAGCGGACGAGTCGCTCCCTCTCGTTGGGTAGGAATGTTTGGAAGCCAGTTTTCACATGCGTAACGCACTGCTTTGCGCTCAGTCACGCGTCGTTGCACTTCGTTGCGCTCCGTATGTGTTCGAAGGAGACTCCGAAGAGACAGGAGGAGGACCTCTCGGAAAAGAAGAGGACGTGCAACGCGACGGACATGTCACGAAGAGGACACGACGTGACACCGATCTGAGCAAGACCAGGACACGAAACGCGATGGACACAACATTAGGGTCGCCTTGGATTCTGCAGGATCGACCTGCTGCGAGCATCCACCAACCACCGCCGCACTCACTGAACACAACTCCCGCCCGCCAGACGTCACTCACCAATCACCGCCCCTAGCCACCAAACACCGCCCCACCGGCCAAACACCGCCCAAGCCGTCGCGCCAGCACCGCCGCGGCCGTCGCCCACCAGTCTCGGAGATCCCACGTGGCGACCACTTGCAACATCGTGAAAGATCGCGGCCAGAGCCCCGGACCCCATCTTCCAGCCCAACTTGCAAGCCAGATGGGTCTGTGAGGGCCCCTGTCACCGAGAATGAAGAGAGCCCCTAACCTCAATGACACAGTGAAGGCGTGGCCTCACTGAAGTCCCCGTCTTTGCACTAGGGGTCATAGACATGGGCGGTTTTGTTCGATGTATCGGCCGAAAAGAGCCCCTATCCCCAAGGTGTTTTGTTTGGCCCTCCTACCTTAGGTCCCCTCCCAAAGGGTTAGGGGTCCTTATTTGGTCAATCACCCTGGACCCGAAACTGGGAGGAAAAACGCCCGCCCCGAACAAGTTGAGACGCCAGGATCCCAGGGCCAAGCAGTGGCCTAGCCGTCGCCAAGGCCCGACTTCTACGAAAAAGCCCCGCGGCGCCGACGGGCCGCGAAGGTACGAGCACAAGTTCCACGTGGACGCGCGGTGGGTGGACGTGCCCGCTGCCCTCGGGGCTCAGGAGCCCTCGCCGCCGTCTTTGTCTTTGCCTTTGACTTTGTCGTCGTCGTCATCATCGTCGTGGACGTCGTCGTCGTCGTTGTCGACGTCGGCGTCGACGTCGTCATTGTCGTCGTCGTCGTCGTGGTCGTCGTCGTGGTCGGCGTCGAGGATCAGTGATCGAGGCTTCGAGGATCGAGGATCGAGTCCCGCCATCGTCTCCGGCGCCGTTCCAGGATAAGGATGTTCGATGATCGAGGGCTTCGGATCTTTCCAGTGTCTCTTGGGCCTCCTGAGCCCCCCCCCGCCGGCACAGCCAGCGGAGCCCCAGTTGGCTTCTTCTGAACTCGCCGGCTGTCCTTCTTAAATATGTTGTTGATGTTGTTGCTGTTGTTGCTGTTGTTTTGTTGGGTATGTTTGTTGCTGTCGGTGCAGCTCCCTTGCGCCCGCCGTCGCGCCTGAGAGGCTCAATATCTGCCTGTCGCGAGGGGGGCGAAGCCCTCCTTCGGCGGCAAAGAGGTCGCCAGAGCTGCGGCACGTTAGAGAGTTTCTGCCAGGGCTGAGCTTGTGCCCGCCGCTCTGGTTCGTCGTCGTCGGTGATATCGTCGGCGTGGGCTTGCGCCCATCCCTTCGGGCGGGTGGCAATGGGGGGTGATCCACATGGGGGGTGAAGAAATGGGCCCTGAGGCCCCTTTTGGAGCCAGCTGGTGTCCAAACGGGGCCGGGGTCCCTTTCGGGCCCTTGAGGGCCCCCCAATGTGGCCCCCCCCATGACCACCCGCCCGACATCTTCGGGACCCCGACCACGGGGAAGCCCGGACCCCGCCGGCCGACCCTCGCCTCCAACCGGTGGGGGCATGGCCCCCCCCCCCCCCCCCGCGGGCTCTCGTAGCACCCGTCATCGCTATGGGCTGGGCATGCCCCCGCTATGGGGCCCGCAGCTCATGTTTTCAATCCGGGCGGGTCATCGGACCAGTGTCGACGGGGGTCAGGACATGGCGGACGTGGTGAATTTCGCGCACCGCAAGCGCCTCACGAAGCTGGCCAAGGAGCTCCTCGCGCTCCCGTGCATGTCCGAGGCGGCCCGCGAGGGCGCGGGCGCCAGCGCCGACGGATGTCGCGGTCGGCCCCGCGCTCGCGGCCAGACCTCTGGTGACCGCAGCGCGCGAGGAGAGACGCACTTGGGTGACTCTGCAGGACGACCGCCTCCAGAGCAGTCGCGACGAGGAGGACGCACGCGCTAACGACGGCGGGGACGAGGGCGTTGGCGGCCTGGGCACCGACCCCGCTGCGGCCAAGTTCAAGGACAGCGTGTTCTCCACGCCCAGCCAAAACATCGCCAACCTGGTCGCTGATTTCCCGGAGGACCAGAGACCCACGCGGGACCAGGCGACGCTCGTCGCCACATTCGCCAAGGCCTGCGACGAGGCCTGGGCGGACAGAAGCCCTGGAGCAAGAGAAAAGTGACGCATTTGCTCCTGCTGTGCCAGGGCGGCTCGGGGAAGACGCACGTGGAGCAGAAGATCGTCTTCCCAGTCGTGGAGTAGTGTGGCCCTCGCTGGCGCTGGACAAGGCCAGCATCATGGTCGTGGCCTTCTCGAACGCGCAGGGAAAAAAAAAAAACATCTTCACGGATATGGTGACGGCCAGGACGCTGCATGACGCCTGCGCCATGCGAGCCCAGAAGTACATCAACGCGAAGCTGAGGCCGGGGGTCACGCAGAAGAGGTTGAAGTGGTTGTGGGAGCGCGTGCGCGTTCTTGTCGTCGAGGAGGTGGCGTGGTGGCGGCAGCTCTGTACAATGCGCTGGACCTTCGCGCCTGCCACGGTCGCAGTGACACGCGCGACGTCCAGGAGTGCACCTACAAGCGGCCGCGCAACCACTTCGGCGCCCCCATCGCGTTGCACCCCGGCGATTTCCTGCAGCTGAAGCCCACAGGCAGCATCGGCCTCCTGACGGACGTGAAGGTGCTCCTGGACCACGGGTCGTGCAAGTACGCGGGGTCTCAGATCCCGCGCGTCCTCGAGCTGAAGGGCACGAAGCGCCTCGAGCCCGGGGGCCCTCTGATCGCGCTCTTGGGCTGCACGCGCGAGGGCAAGCCCTTCCCGCCAGAGGTCTTCTCCGCCTGGGAGACGACGTTGGCCTCGGACAAGCGCGGCGCCCTGGGCCCTCGGCACCAGCGCGAGAACTTTCGGATTGGCTACGGCATTGGCATCTACTGGGAGACGCTGGCGAGGTGGATCAACGCGCGCGCTTATCGCGACCCGCGGCGCCCGGGCGGGCCCTTCGTTTTCTGGCAAGCCGTGGGCGAGCGCGCGCGATTCAGGGCGATCCCGACGCGGGTCGGCGCCTCCTGAACGCCCCGAACACGCGCGCGACGGGGGACGTCCACGGCGTCTTGCCGGCCCACGTCGGCACGGAGGTGCGATTCACCGCAGCGCGGGAAGAGGTGAAGAAGAAGTTGGGGCTCGCGCAGGAGCGACGGACCACCGTTGCGCCCTTCGAGTTCCAACCTGGGGACGAGCAGCGGCGCGAGGAGCCCACCCCGAGGACGAGCAGCGGCGCGAGGAGTGCTCGCCAGGCCAGCTCTTTCGCCCCCGCTTAAGTCCTACCTCAGGGAATCTGGCTGCAAGCGCGCGGCTTCAAGGAGCCTCCGATCTAGTTGCCGGGGGGTCGCCGAGCTGCTGCGACACAGCGCCGAACGCGCCGACGACGGCGGCCAGGCCGAGGCGCGGGCGCGGAGCTTGCTGATGTTCAGGCCCGGCGAGCAGGAGCTCACGCGGCAGAGCTCGGGGCCGCGCGCCGCGCGCCGCTCGGGGTTCACCGCGGCGCGCGCGCCCGGGGTCCACCGCGGCGCGCGCGCCCTACCTCACCTCCGCGATGTCGCAGGGCCAGACGCTGCGCAATGGCGTCGCCATCGAGCGCGCGAGGGGCGAGGGCGCTGCCGCGCGGGCGCGTTGGACGACCAGTGGCGGCTGCACCTCTACGTCATGTTTTCCACCGCCGCCACGCGCATGTTGAACATGCCGATCCTGCGGCCGCCGCCGCGAGAGTTCTGGGAGCGAGGGTCGCCGGCGTCCTTGCGGAAGGCGCTCCTGGAGTTCGACGCCAGAGCCCCGCTCGAAGTCCGCGGGGCTGCCCCAACGTCTTGGTCTCGCGCGCCGCCGGCTCGCGGGGTAACCCTGGCAGCCCGGCCCGTTGGGCTGTCTCAACGGCTGCGGCGCAATGTGACAAGTAGAGATTGCGAGGCAGCGACGGGGCCGAGGAGAGTCGAAGCGCGCGCTCACTCAATAGAAAGGAGAGGAGGTGGCGGGGGATGAAAAAAGTCCCGGCAAAGCAACCTAACAGCGATGTGTAGGAGCAAATCTGGAAGCATTCCCCTTAAGACCCAGATGAGAACCCAGTCGTAGAATTCTGCTGTTCTCGCAGTCGTAGTCGAATTTGCGATGACAGTCGCAGTGGCAACGGCAGTGGCAGTCACAGCCTCAGCCTCAGCCTGCCTCAGCCTCAGCCTCAGCCTGCCTCAGCCTCCGCCTGCCTCAGCCTCAGCCACAGCTTGCTTCAGCCTCAGCATCAGTCTGCCTTCAGCCTCGGCCTCAGCCTCAGCCTGCCTCAGCCTCACCCTGCATCAGCTTCAGCCTCAGCCTCAGCCTGCCTCTGCCTCGGCCTCAGCCTGCGTCAGCCTCAGCCTCAGTCTGCCGTCGGCCTCTCTCTCTCTCTCTCTCTCTCTCAGCCTCAGCCTGCCTCAGCCTCAGCGTCAGCCTCAGCCTCATCCTGCCTCAGCCTCAGCCTGCCTCAGCCTCAGCCTCAGCCTCAGCCTGGCTCAGCCTCAGCCTCAGCCTGCTTCAGCCTCAGCCTCAGCCTCAGCCTGCCTCAGCATCAGCCTGCCTCAGCCTCAGCCTCAGCCTGCCTCAGCCTGAGCCTGCCTCAGCCTCAGCCTCAGCCTCAGCCTCAGCCTCAGCCTGCCTCAGCCTCAGCCTGCCTCAGCCTCAGCCTCAGCCTGCCTCAGCCTCAACCTCAGCCTGATTCAGCCTCAGCCTCAGTCTGCCGTCGGCCTCAGCCTCAGCCCCAGCCTGCCGCAGCCTCAGCCTGCATCAGCCTCAGCCTCAGCCTCAGCCTGCCTCAGCCTCAGCCTGCCTCAGCCTCAGCCTCAGCCTGCCTCAGCCTCAACCTCAGCCTGCGTCAGCCTCAGCTCAGTCTGCCTTCAGCCTCGGCCTCAGCCTCCGCCTGCCTCAGCCTCAGCCTGCATCAGCCTCAGCCTCGGCCTCAGCCTGCCTCAGCATCAGCCTGCCTCAGCCTCAGCCTCAGCCTGCCTCAGCCTCAGCCTCAGCCTGCTTCATCCTCAGCCTCAATCTGCGTTCAGCCTAGGCCTCAGCCCCAGCCCGCCTCAGCCTCAGCCTGCATCAGCCTCAGCCTCAGCCTCAGCCTGCCTCAGCATCAGCCTGCCTCCGCCTCAGCCTCAGCCTGCCTCAGCCTCAGCCTCAGCCTGCTTCAGCCTCAGCCTCAGTCTGCGTCCAGCCTCGGCCTCAGCCTCAGCCTGCCTCAGCCTCAGCCTGCATCAGCCTCAGCCTCAGCCTCAGCCTGCCTCAGCATCAGCGTGCCTCAGCCTCAGCCTCAGCCTGCATCAGCCTCAGCCTCAGCCTCAGCCTGCTTCAGCCTCAGCCTCAGTCTGCCTTCAGCCTCGGCCTCAGCATCAGCCTGCCTCAGCCTCAGCCTGCATGAGCTTCAGCCTCAGCCTCAGCCTGCCTCAGCATCAGCCTCCCTCAGCCTCAGCCTCAGCCTGCCTCAGCCTCAGCCTCAGCCTGCTTCAGCTTCAGCCTCAGTCTGCCTTCAGCCTTGGCCTCAGCTTCAGCCTGCCTCAGCCTGAGCCTGCCTCAGCCTCAGCATCAGCCTGCCTCAGCATTCAAAATGTGGCCCGGGAATGGAGTTCTGGGAACTCGAAGACCACGAAGTGGCCTACAGTTGGCTCCGGGCATTCAAAATCATGCCCAGGAATCTGGATCTGGGAACTCGAAGACCACG